ATTTCTACTTTTTTCCCTACACTCACTCTTTTCCTTGGTTTACATTGCTTTCCCAATTTTACTTGTTACTGGAAGCTCACTACTCTGTGCTGATGAATGTAGGGAAGCACTGCTGCTCTTCATAACTGGATGGAGATTTAGCTTTATAGAAAATGTTTCTCTGGTTATACAGTATCCAACTTTCAGTATTCTTTGTGATTTTAAGCTACATATTTATGCCAAAAAATGTTTCTACCTCTTCTTATGTATAGAAGATTTTTGTTTCCCACCTCAAAATATAATGAATTTTCACAGTTTTATGCAACTGACTAATTTTATTCTATTTTTTGAAAAGTGTTAAGGAAAAAATATCACTGATTATATATTTCATTGTCTCTTTAGGCACTATTCGGGTTTTTCTGTCTTTTTGGTTCAGTTTTGGTACTTTATATGCATCTAGGCATCTGACCATTTCTTCAAGACTTTCAAAGTTTCTGGAGTCACAATTTTCACTCTAGTTGCTAGTCAGCTGGGATTTTGCTAGTGTCTGGTGTCATTTTGACTTTTTAATTTTTAATTGCATTGATACGAGTTTTTCATTCTTTCCTTTAAATTTGGTTAAAATTTGGTCTGTTTTGCTTTTTTAAAGAATCAGCTCCTGAATTCATTAATTCTTTTATTGTTTTCTTAAAATTAAGTTTCATACTGATCCTTGTGAGTTCACTTATGCAGTAATTTGAGTTTGGATTGGTTTTTCTTTGACAGAACTGTGAATATATAATTTTGTTTTTTTTAAAACTTTCTCTGGTTTTCTAATCTAGGTGTTTACAGCAATAAACTTCACTTTTAACTATGTTTTCACTGTGTGTCCTATATTCTCCAGTGTTTGATTTATTCCTTTATTTCTTCTGTAATTGAATATTTCGGAGTATATTATTTAATATCCTTGTATTTGTATGGTTTTGAGGTTTCTTTTGTAATTGATTTATAGTTCCATTGTGCTATGATCTAATTGTGTGTGTAGCAAGATTTTATTCTTTTGTACTTATTTTGTATGTTTAGTGGACTAGAATGTCTTCTATTTTTGAAAAAGTTCCCTAGACTGCCGAGAATAATGTCTGCTTTATTGTTCAGTAGAACTCTTTGAAGGTATCTGTTAGTTTCATTTGTTCAGTGGTATAGTGCAACTTTGGTATTTCTTTGGTGATTTTTTGTTTACTTGATATCTCTGTTTGGGAGAGTGATGTATGTAGGTCTCCCATCACAATTGTGCTGGTGCATATGTAATCTTTCATGTCCAGTAGTGTTTGCTTGATGTACTTGGGCTCACTGATATATGGTACATATATATTTATAATTATTATCTGTTCTCATTGGATTGTTCCCTTGACTAATATAAATTGCCATTCCTTGCCTTTTCTCATGAATTTAATTTCAAGTACATTTTCTTGGAGAAATTCATACTCCACTTTCTTTCTGAGGTTCTGGTGCATGCAGTGTTCTTTTCTATCTTTTAATTTTTAGTATATGAGTTTTTCTCAAACTGATGTGTCTCTTTTATTCAGAAAATCACTGGGCTTTGTGGTCAATCCAGCCTACAAATTTGTCTCTTTTTTCTTATAGTTGAACATTTATGTTGAGTTATTACTGAAAAAATGTTGATGCATTCCAACATGGCCTTATTTCTGTTGACATCTTTAATTTTCCCTTTGTCTTTAACCAATATGCTGCTTAATATACTTTATTCCATCAGAATTTGGGGTATTGTTGGCGTTATTTTTCTCTGACTAAATTATGGATGATTTTTTTGAGCATTCATTTAGTGTTTATGAACTTCTTATGATGTGTTTTAGTTATGGGATACCTTTATCCTATGTTCATTTTGAAAAGGTCATTGCAGTACATTTTAGTTTGGGTAGAAAAACTTTTACTTCTAGTGATGGGTAAATTTCAATCCACCCTCTACTAGTCTTTACTATGTTTGTGATGAGACCATAATTCATAGGTCTCAATGCTGAGTGGTTTGAATCACCACCAGCACATGCATGATTGTCCCATCAAGTTAGTATTAATTTTATTAGTAAAAAGATCAATAAAACTGATTACATCCATTTTCACTACCAGCCCTGAAAACTACTTGATGTAACAGTTATGCCTGTACATTGGTGGTTCAAGCTGGTGGGAATGTATTAAAGTTTTTGTTTAAAAAAGCGTTATTTAATACAATTACAAGTGATCTTTGGCTTTTCTCTGACAACTTTTATGACTTTGTCCATTGGTTTGAGATTCTCAAATTTTGATTATTATGTGCAATGGAGAAATGGAGATCTTCTTAAAATCATTACTTGTTCTGTAAGCCTCATATAGTTTATATGTTTAGTTTTCCTTATTTTTTTCTATTGGGATTTTTTAAACAGATATTTTATATTGTATGTGCTATCCTTTAATTTGTTTCTAACTCCATTTTTTCTTAAGTTAGTCTTAGCAACCTCTAACAAACACTTACTAATCTTGCTATACTATTTTTAACATATCTGTATGTATAACATCTTTTATTTCCATGCTATCCTTGAAGTCTGATACTTCAAGTTCGTCATTGCTCGTATTCAGTAGAATTCATTATCTCTAAAGGATTTCTGTTTAGCATCTTTTCATGAAGTCAAGTTTTTTGGTATTCACTCATGTTTGAAATAGTTTTGATCAGGCCTTTTAATTTTTGGTTTTTGCCAAAATACATTGGTCACCATGTTTTTCAGTTCAACCATTTTGTGGGTTATAAATTATTTGAGCTTGCTGAGTTTCCATGTGTCCATTTTAATCATTTCATGCTGCTCACCCACTAATGTTTGACTTCCACCCTATCAGTGCCCATTGGGTCTTTTTAAAGAGAGTTGGGAGTCTTTGGAATCATTTTCTGTCCTATTTTTTCATGTTCCTGTTTTTCTTTTTTCTTTCTTTTTTTTTTTTTTTTTTGGTATGTGTATGTGCTGATTGTTGAAGTCAAATACAGTGAAAATTTGTTGTTGGTATGAATATCTCTTTAGTTAGGTTCTGTTTTCTAGTGATGTGATCTTAGCTTTATTTGTCAAGAGGTTTTTATTTGCTACTTTATTCTATTCAGTTGAATTGGGCTGTATCCAGCTACTGTTACTGTAGAGATTCCTACAGCTTATACCATCTACAGATCTAACCAACAGTGATAAACATTGAAACCATTTAATATTATTAGCACCCTTTTATTAGCACCAGTTCCAAACTATGCTGTATTTATTGACAGTTAATGTGGGATGAGGAAGCAGGGAAGGACAGAGAAAGGGGAAATCAGGGGGAAAATAAGGAGAAAGAAGAAAAGAGAATGTTTATAGATAAGATACAAATTCAGACACTGTTGGATGCACTTTATAGCTAGAATAAAGGGTTAGTGCTGGTGAGTTTAAAAGAATATTTTTGGATGCATGAGAGTACTTTCATGAAAAGACAGAATAACTGGAGGTTGAGGGAAGCTGTGGAATTGTCAGAACCTACTAACACATTTGTGGTTAGATTTAGTGGGATCCTGTAAGCACATTCCATTAAAGGTTACCCCAGTATAACAGTGAATGCTGCCATTTAAGTTAAAACACTGGTCTAATCTTATTCTGCTTTGTACATTAACTGGCCATGTTGGAATCTACAGTTATATCTATTGATTGGGAAGTTATAAAATGTTTATGTATAAACACTTGAGTTATTGACAAATATACCTTATGGAGGATAATGTGGGGTAAAAATAATTAACGAGCCATGTTCTAAAAGTAGTAGAGTCCAATCCCCAGGATGAAGAGGGTCAGGAGGGATTGCAATGGTTAGAGCTTCAGGGCCAAGTACAGCATTAATTAGCTGAGTTTTATGGATAAACTTAGCATCCGGCTGCATTAAAAATTAAATATCTTGTTAAAGAAACTATAGCATAGTTTGAATGGAAATCATGTTGTCCTTTGAGTACCTAGGCACTCTTATTGCATGGGTTTACAGTAACAGTTAAAGATCAAATCTTTCTCATTAGAATATATGATATATAATTAGAATTGTGTGTATGTAGTCAGGCATAGACATAGTTAAATATTTTAGAGAAGTGCTGTTTTTAAATACGTACCACACAGGAGTTTAAATTTCAAAAGTGCAGTAACAACATCAGTTCAGCTGCTTGTTTTGAAGTGCTCTCTCTTTAATTCAATTTTTCTATTAGGTTAATTCCTCGAAGCAAATCATGGTGGTTTGTTGTCATTTGCTTTTCAGCTCATGAGTGTGAAAGCTCCCTGAGATATGCTCTCAACTTCTCTCCAAGTTGTTCTTTCAGATAAATTTTCATTACATTCTTTCCTTCTGTGGGAACTTCACGTCCCGTGTCCTATTTTCTGAGTATTTCATCCGTTGGAATAGAATAATTACAAAGAACATATTGATTGAGTGTCCACTTACTTTTGTTCTCTGTGTGTCTTAAAGCAGAGTCAGAGAGAAGTAGATTATTATGCAGTGTGTTTGTGCTGGCAAAATTTTAACTCTTTCCGTAACTGTTGCTCATTATGGCCCATTGTGGGTGCACAAATGGTTCTGTTAATTTGTGCACACACAATAACTATGATGCAAGGCCACAAAGTATAATAAAATATAAGAAAAGTATAAGAATATAAAATATAAGTATAAGACAAGTATAGTCTAATGTAGCTTAAATGTAATTTGTGAATTAAATTGTGAATCTGTAGAACTTTTGCTTCAAAAACTTAGTTTTCTCTGACATACTGTATATAGATCAAGAGTGATACTTCAGAATATACATAATGACAAATATTTTTGCCATTAAATATGTGGAGTTTATTTGGGCTTAAAATTAGAAGGTTGATCTTTAATCTAGCATATCTGTGTATTACAGATGGCAGGTAATAAGGAAATTGAATGAATGCCTGATGACTGTGTGAATTATTTTGCGGGTCACAGGAGCATGAAATTTAGTCATGACCTGCTCTCCTTTCTCCTCACAGTGCAAGAATGAATGCTCAACAAGAATGTGTGGCTGTCTTTTACAAAGCTGAAGTCTACTCGGAATTCACTGATTATTTTTATGGGGGGAAAAGTGATTTTCTATAATTTGCATGAACTATTCTGCATGAACTTAATGCCTTTGATATTCCCCAAAGAGGAATTAAATCACAAGGATCATCTAATCTAAACAGTACTGTGAGTATAAGTTATGTATGTCTGTTGGGTCAGTTGCTTGTTTTAAATTGATTCCCTTTAAATGGACTTTTTGGTTTGTTTTATTTGTTTTTTTTTTTTTTTTTTTTTTTTTAACCTTTGTGTTAGAGGTTTATATACAGCTTTGGAAATAGAATTTCAACTATTTTCTGAAGTCCAAATTTTTGCAATACTATTGTGAGTTACTATTAATAATTTAAAAGCATATATCAGATCACAAGAATATTTCATGCTGTTGTTATATTTAAATTTGTGTTCTATTATCTCAGTTTAGAAAACTAATATTCTATCACCTATAAAATATATAGGTTCCCTATCACTTTTTCTAAGTTACTACAGATATTAAATAATTTCAGAAAATAGCATTCTATCTTCTATAAAATATATAGTTTGCCTATCACTTTCTCTGTTTAGTAGAAGGATTAAATGAGATATTATTTTTGATTTTTATTAGTTTCATTATCATCTTCAAGAAATACACTACTTAAAATTCATTGTAGTACCTGAGGTACAGGTGTTTAATAAAAATTATTAATATAAACTTGCTTTGGCCATAAGATCCTTTTTTTTTTTTTTTGTACCAGGGATCAAACTCATGACGTCTGGCTTGCCAGGCACACGCTTATGCTGCTAAGCTAAATCTCCAGCCCAAGGTCCTGTATTAATAGAATTCAAATATATGGTATATTTCATGAGCTGTTTAATATTGTTGGCTCATCTTTCTAAACTAAATAACAAATCTGAGTGAAATTTGATCTTCAAATGTTACATATACTGTATATAGGCATATATTGCTTCTAAAGTAGCAGGCTAGTTGTGAAAATTTCAGAAATACAAATTGCTGAGAAGTAATTTTATATTCCACACTTAATCAAGCAGACATAAATACGTCAAATTATACAAATTTATGTAATTTTAATGTAATTTGCTTATTTGTAATTTGTAATTCTTCACATACATTTAAGCACAATTTGAGATATATCTACATACCCTATAAATTGTAACTTGTATTAACATAAGTAATTTTATGCTATTTTAATTAAACAGTTCATAAAATCTTCCTTGCTTATAGCAAGGAAGTTTAGGTTTATCTATATAATGTGGTACCTTTTCAAACAAATTTTAAATTTGTTAATATAATAGCAGAATGGGAAGGAAAAATTAAAGAAATTGTAGCATAACTAAAATACGTAAATTTTGATTTTGATATTTTGAATATTTGCACACTGGTTAAATTACAAATGTAAAAACAAAATAAACAGGTAAAATTACCATTGGAATCATTGTATTCAGATTGTTCCAGGAGTAAGTTTTTCAGGGCAACCTAGATAATTTTATGTATATTACCATGTAACTGGAGCCTAACAGATTTTTAATTAATAGAGGTGCAAAAAATATTTAAAGAAAATAAACTGAAAATTAGTGAATGAATACATTCATGAAAATGTTCACATATTTTGCAGAAGAACTTATATTTTAGTGCATATTTTGAATAGAAAGTGTCTATCTTTACATTAAATACTGCAAATATTTACTGCATACTTGATCAATGTAGACTGTCAAGTGTGGAAAAAAGAAAATGCAATGTTAATCTTTGTATTCTTTGTTTCCTTAAAAGAGCATATGGTTGTTTCTTTTAAGAAATGCAAACTCAAATATAAACCTAATAATAGAAACATTTTAGAAATGAGAATCAACTTTTAAAAATGAAAATGGTTTAAAATGGATGTATGATGCGTATGCACTACAAATTTGAAGATCATGCGTGATTATTTTTATGAAATATTACTATTATACAATCTGCATATTCATCATACAAAATAAGATATAAATTATTTCCTTCATGTCAGATAGCTGTTTCTCCTCCTTCAAATCCTAAGAGATAACCATGCTTATTTCTGCTCGCTGAGAACACTTTTTCTAGCTCTTGGACTTGAAAAAAGTACAAAAATAAGGTGAGGATTCTTTAGTGTCTGGCTCATTTTACAAAACATAATTTTTTGTGTGTTGCTAAAATAATAGTTAATGCCATAAAACCGCCTGTGCTTTTTTGAGATCTGCAATGTAGACTACATGAACCAGATTGTACCCTTCTCTTTCAACACTTGGGAGATCCCTTTCTCTCGCTCAGATTGTTTTTTAAGTCCCTCATATTCAATGAAGAATTGCTCAAAATTCTAAAAAATAAATGGATAAACATTCTTGCTTTTGATGAGATTATATTTATAAAAACAAGAATTGTATCAAGATTTTGTGAAACTATGCATGTTTTAGAAAGATCTATTGTTGTTAACATACTTTAACCAAAACTTAACTAAAAAGTTAATGTCCCAATTATTGCCTATGTAAAGGCAAATGCAAATTTAAAATAAGAAAATATGAAGCTTAATTTTTCTGATCCAAGTAAGAGTAAAAACATACAAATATTTTTAGTCATCTATCACACATTTTCAGTATCTATATATATGCATATGTGTATATATATGTATTTCTGACTTCTCTATTGTTCTAATGTTCCATATTTACACTGAGCTTTGTTTTCTATTTTGTGCATTTTGACTACTGTATTTTTAAACTATAATTAAAATTAGAACTTTTGACACTTACAGATTTGTTCTTTTTTTCAAAGGTTGCTTTTGCCACTTTAGGTTTTTAGTGATTTTATATCAATTTTAATATATTTTTCTAATTATGTAAACAATGCACCTAGTACTTCCATTAAATCTGCAGGTTATTTTGCATACTCTGGACTTATTCACAATTACAAATCTTCAAACCTGTGAATATTAGGAGTACTTTATTTTTTGCCTTTAACTTCCTTCACTATTGTTTTATAATTTTAGTGATTCTTTTATTTTTTTAATTCATTCCTAGGCATTTTATTCTTTCTGTTGCCAAATATAACTATGATTTTTTCTCAATCACTTCTTTTAAACTTTCTGTCATTCTGAGTATTGAAACGAGAGCTCTCCACTAAACTCCATCCCCAGTTCTTTTAAAATACCTTTTCTTGAGAAGAAAGTTGCTAAACACTAAGTGAGCCTTGTGGGGCTCCAATTTGCACATCTCCTGTCCCGTCTCACAGAGTGCTGGGTGTAAGGCTATGTGGCCGTGCCTGGCCTCTTACCTCTTTTTTTATTGGTTAATTACTTGCGTGTAGAACAACTACTGATTATTATTATTTTTGGTTCTCTGTTTGTTTGGTGATGCTGGGTATTGAATTCACAATTCTTGGGCATCGCCATGCTAGGAACATAATACATAATCTAGGTACTCTTCAGTCTTTACAATTATTTCATGATTTTGTATTCTGAAGTTTTCAGGAATTTATCAAAAATAACTTTTTTTATTGGGTCTTTGGTGTTCACTATTTACATAACCATTTTATTTGTAATAACAATTTATCATCTTTGATTTTAATATAGGTTACTTTTTGTCACTTTTTACTGTCTGTCTTGGCAACCAGGCATGGTGATAAATGTCTGGAATCCCAGCATGTGGGGTGCTGAAGCAGGAGGATCACCATGAGTTCAAGGCCAGACTGCATTACCTAAGTGAGTTCAAGACCAGCCTGCACTAAATAGCAAGACCCTGTCTCAAACAATCCTTGCCTTCAAGAAAAAGTAATTGTCTTGGTAAAAATTTTCAGGGAAGTGGTCTTTCTTTCCTTATATAAGATCTTTAAGAAAAGTTCTTAGATTTTCCCTATTGATCGTATTGACGTAAGCCTTTAAAATATGATCTTTATTCTGATCAGGCAATCTACTTCAATAACTATTGTCTTTAGAGATTTAATCATTAATGAATGTTCAATTTTGTCAAATGCCTTTCTGCATCAACTGAAATCATTATGTAATTACTTTCTTTGGGGTAATTTTGTGATGTATCATTGTGTTCCCATATTGTCGCTGTGCCAAATTCTTAAAACCAGCAACAAAAGGAATGCTTATTTGGATTCAGTATTTCAGTTTACAGTCCAATTGCTATGATCATTTGCTTTGATATTGTAGAAATAAGAGGTTTGATACTGTAGAAATAAGCAAGGAAAGAGACTGGAAGAAAATTTGAGTCTCGGTATTTTTTGTGGGTATATCTCTGGGAGTTCAAGGGCAGCCTGAACCACATAGCAAGATCTTGTCTAAGAAAAAAAAAAATACAAATACATTGTCATGCATACCTTTCTATGAATGTAAATATTAATTAGTTGTTAGCACTAGTTTTCTAATGTAGTTGATGCTGTAGCAAGAAAATAATTTAGGCATAAACAATACAAAGCCTCTTTAAATTTCATACATATAGCTATTCAAGGTTAAAGACTTTAACATTGTTTAATTCTTTTTGACACATTTTGTACCTGATGTATGTTGTATTATTTAACATTTTCTAAACTTAATTTAAAGCAAATGTTTCATTTTTATTTCTCTGACAATAGGAGTAATCTAAATATTTTGTCTTATAGAGCATTTTGAGGACACATATATGTACATATTCATAAATCTTAGAAAAATAAGAACTAGTATATTCCCAGGAAAGGTCTTACTCTTTATACTAAGTTTGGGTTAGGATATTTAATATGCTCAAATTTATAAAATCTTTTCTAAATTTTATAAATTACTTTCATAAAAAAGCAAATCCAAAAGTATGATCACATCATGTGATCACACATGGGTGGAGTTTATATTTGACTGAACAGTGGATATTCTTTTTCCTCTCACCAGGTTAATGCACTGAAGATACTTAGAATTACCTGACAGAACTCTGTGGTGTCTGTTTCCCTGTCACTGATAAACTGCTGATGATCATTCATATTAGACCAGTTGGCAGCCCGATACTCTGATAACTTTACTGTCTTTCATCTGACACTTTTATAATGTTTATTGTTTTGACTATTAAAAGGAATCTTCAAACGAAGCGTCATTTTATTATTTCTGATTTTTTTAACCTGAGCACTGAGTGCTTGGTGTCATCAAAAGCTTACAGGAATTCCTGTTTCAGAATTCCCCTCACAAGGATCTCACTCATCAGCTTCCAGCTGGGCTGGTAGACTTGAGCAACATCTTACAGTATCTCTATCTTTAAAAAAAAATACATACATATATATATATATATATATATATATATATATATACATATCTTTCTCTTGAAATTCAACAACCTCAGGAGTAAAGCGAACAGGTATGTATTTCACTTTTTATAGGGATAAACCATCTCCAAATTTTGCCTGCTTTTTGGTTTCTACAGTGACATTAAAAATTTTTGTGTGGGCATGTGGGTATATATGTGTCTGTGTGAACATACAATTTTGGCATTTATAATTCTACTGCAGTGTTAGTTCATTGTAAGATATGTCATTATTACCTGAATTGCATCTTCTAGGATTAGTCTTTAATCCTCTCTATAAAATATCATGCTCCTTTAGGCTGGAAGTAACACAGTATACAGCTATTTGTTGATAACTTAAGGTTATATTACAGGGTTTCCACAGTTTATAAGTATCTAAATAATTGAAATATGTTATATGTTATTTTTCATAAAAAACAAGTGAACAAATGAAATTTATTGAATTTCAGTCACTGTAAAAATTATGTTTTGTGCAATAAATCCCTTAAAACATAGTTATAAAAGGAAATTCTCTAGCAAAATGTGAAAATTAGCTAATTATAAAATGAATTCTTCTAATAAATAAATTATATGCTCCAATATCCTTTATATATTAGACACATGCATTAACTTAGTTACATTTCATATATGTATGTAGTTTGCAGTTAGTTATCTTAAAATGAATGGACTTGATGTTTCAAGTTAGACTGCAAAACAGCAAATACATAAACATTGATCAACCATAATAAAGAATATATCATCAAGGATAACTGTAAGCTAAATATAACCCAAAAAACAAACTCCATCTTTTCCTGCATGAAAAACTTATTGATAAGAAAGGAAAAGATGCATTTGCTAAAAGTTTGTGTTATAAGCTCACAGAAAGAATTTTCAGACATTTGCACACTGGTATGTAACAAAAATGCATTTCCTGGCAAGAGTTGCACACAGTTTATATAATCTTAAAGTTAACTTTAAGATAACCACTATGTCAAATCTGGTGCCACATTATATTTTATTTGATAGTACCACTTTTCGTCCTTCTCAACTTATACCCTAAACTCACAGTCCAATTTTTGTAGGTTTTTAGAGTTAAAAACTAATTCAATACCAATAGAATTTTAATGAAGAATGATTAAATGGTTACTTTTGTGTTTGCTGTTTGTGATTACACTCATTATCACTATTACTTTGCTTATACAATAAGGCAGAAAGAAAACACTTAAGATTTTACTCATTACACATCGATTTCCTACATATTTGATTTTTATGCAGAAATTTCTGAATAATATTGACTACAGTAATGAAATTGATAAGTGAATTCAGCAATTTTCAAGTATAAAATCAATATACTTCATGAAAATTATCTGCAAATGTTTAGAAAATAAATTGGAAAATTATTATAGTTAATCTAAGTATCACTTAGAATAACCAAAATGCAATTTGTAGTGAGTTTAATAATAAAAGTACTACAAGTCCTTTAGAATGTGTAGTAGTTCTCTTTGTGTGACTTAATCTTCCATTATTACAAAAAAAAAACCATAAATACAAAAGAAAAGCTTTGTGCTGGTTAAATTTGAGAGATTCCAGTCTCTGGGGGTGTTGACTTGCAGTGACACAGTATACGCAGTGAAGCAAAACTTGTAACTTCATGGCTAGGAAACAATAGAGGGAAGAGAATGCACTGAATTTCATGATCCTCTGCAGAGCTTTGGTTCTAATGACCTAAGTACCTCCAACCAAGTTCCACCTATCAGAGGTTTCACTCTCTTCTACCAAGCCTTCAACCCACTTCTTTAATTTTAAAAAAATTAAGATAAAAGAGAACATAACAAAATAGGTCAGAACAGAACAATTTAAGCAACATAGTGTTTCACCACAAGACAACTTGACATAATAGTAGCTACCATAGTGTCTCTTGAAATATTTGAATATACCTTCATACACTATGGTATCAAACCTAACAAAATAGTATAAAATCATTCAAGAGAATGAAAGTATTATAGGGTATTCAGAACCAACAAACAGAAAACAAACAAGGATTACTATATTATCTCCTTGTCCATAAAATTTTTGTTTATACTATCACACCTAACAAAATCCAATGAGATACAACATGATAAAACTGATGGGAGACAGAAGAACAAAAGCATGGTAGGATGATACTAAATCAGCACTAGCTATGATAATGTCTTGTTTTCATCAAAATAGCTGTTCATTCCATCACAGACAATAAAGTCAAACAACCAGAATAAAACCATAATGAATGAAAACATAAAGCTTTAAAGCAATATAGTGGGGAATAATGATTACCATACACTTTGATGTATTCTTTTTTTTTTTTTATTTTTTTTTATTTTTAATTTTTATTTAAGGAGAAAAGAAAAGAAAGAAAAAAAAACAGTGAAGGGGTACAAGTTATACAGATTTACAGAATAAAAAAATACGCAGTAGGAAATCACTAGTTAATGGATTACATATTGCCATCTTAGAAATAATTAAGTCACAAAATTAAAGCATTGTAGAGTGGACATTCCAACAATGATACTGCAAACAGTTCTGTTCAATGATCCAGTAAAACTCTGTGCTATCATTTTCTATCTTATACATTTAAATATACATGCAGTTATATAGTTTAGAGCACTTTCTTTTCCTCTCTTTTGTACAGTGACTATTACACATTCTGGGTTTCATTGCTCCCACGGTTCTTGTTGCTTTTTTGGAAGAGAGTAAAACCAAATGTGACATAACAGAACAGAATCAGTCAAGTCAAAAGGGTGGACATAATAGATAATATAAAAACATAATACAAGGTGATCAACAATGGTTACCATAATGCCTCCTGCTATTTCTAATAGAATTGCCTATATCATTAGTTGTAATACAATTGAACAAAACCATAAAGAATAAAACCGACAAAACCAAAACATTGGAGATATTGTAGGTCTTCAAAAGTAGATAAAAGTCAACGAGAATGGGCGTTATAATGAATCTCATTATCTTCTCAGCTGATACCTAAACTTTCGAACCTGATACTATCCAGCAAAACAGAATAGAGGAACCTCAGTCAAAAGCAAGATGGTGAGAGTAATACAGGGCTTCAAATCGAGATAATAGAAAGTCAAAGTGGGTTACTATATTATATCCTGCTATATTTTTCCCTTTAATTAAGTGGATAAAAATAAAAAAGTAAATAATGGAGTGGAGATTGAGAAAAAGGAGGGCATAACAGCGAAACAGGGCAGATCAAAACATAACCATTTAAGCAGAATAGTGTTTCACCACCAGCTAATCCTGACCCCAAAA